TTTTTCCTTTTTTTTTCTCTTTTTTTTTTCTTATATTTGAGAAGTAGGGAACGGCAGCTCCGTCACAACCCATGGGTTTTAGCCTTTCGTGCTCGTCTAGATACGGAAATTATTGGAATTATACACTAGAGCCCCCACAGATTGGCAGCTGTTGCAGCCCATGCTCTTTTTTTTTTTTTTTTTGGGTGCCAAACGGCTTTTCAACTCCACCAATTATTCCTCCATCCTCATTATTCTTTTTTTTCGACTATGAGACATAGAAACCCCAATTTTCAACTTCAACTCCCCAAACTTAATCAACATTGATTAAAGCAATCACAAGCACATATCAAAAATACAAATCGCCTCAAAACCAACTCACCACAAATAAATCACAAAAATATCAACCATCATGCCTTTGTCCCCAAAATAAAAACACCTTAAGAATTTAACCAAATAAAATTAACTCAAGCCATTTAAACTAGCACCATAAATCCAAACTGACTCTCATGTCATCATCGCAAAATTCCACGTACATGCAATCTCATAGTCACACACAAGCAAATGTCATGCAACCAATCTACGACTCAAACTCTAAGGGGCAAAAATATAATGACATAATAAATCATGAATGCTCACCAAGAAACACCTCCCCAAACTTAGAGTTTGCATATATCATAGACACTCAAATAAACAAAAACGGAGGTAAAAGAAACGAGTTCACCTCAGTCAATGCGAAGAAGGTCGCCGAACCACGCACACCATTGGGTTGCCTCCCAACAAGCGCCTCTTTTTATTGTCGTCGGCCCGACTTATTACTCCCTTTCATCAAAGGATCCATGGCGGCTTCGGAGGTGGCCTCAAGGGAGCCACAAATCTCACAGCACCATGTTTGGTTGCATTCCCTATCCTCGGTGTCGGGTGCTTCACCGGATCTTTCCTCCATGACGCTAGTTCCTCAAGGATGTGTAGCAACCCACGCTCAATCACGGTCACCATCTCATGAAACCCCCACTTACACCTTTCGTTTTGCTCGATCGTCTCAAGAGGAGGTATGTGAAGGCCCAAGACATGCTTCAGTGCATCCTTGGTCAACACCCACTTCATATTGGAATACATAGGACACGGTTCAGCTTCTATCGGCACAAGAGCGGGAAGAACGGTACGCTTTTTGGCTACAGCAGGTCGAGTATGGGGTACCTCCGTATTCTGCTGCCCAACCCCATATTCTGCAGCTTGGTTCTCTTTTTCGCTCTCATTCATCTCGATATTCGTGATTTTCTCGTTCTCCGGCTCGTGTGTGCACTCTTTAATTTCCTCGAGGTCCTCGCTCTACGAATGGGTAATGCTCAAACTCGTTGGACTCGTTTCGATCCGATACACTAGTCGGTCCATTTGTTCCGCCAATTGGCTCATTTGGCCTTCTAAATTCTTTATGCTTAGTTCTTGGCTCTTGAGGCTCGTCTCAACACTTTGCTGAAAGTTAAAGGTGTTCAACGTCAATTCCTTCATCATATCCTCGAGAGACGGACCAGGGTCATTCTCAACAAGTGGCTCGGAGTGTTCTTGCAGAAATCTCAACGTGTGAGCCTCTAGTGCCTTCATCATATCCTCGAGCGATGGGCTGGGATCTTGCGCAATTGGTGGCTCAGAGTACCCATGGAAAGAGTTTGAGTGCTCTCTCAAGCCGTACTCATTCTCCTCGGGATACACGTAGTCTTGCTCGTATCTTCGCCAACCCCTATGTCCTCTTACACCTCGATCTCCGATCCACGGACCTCGTATCTCCCTCTCATACTGGTAAGGTGCTTGGTGGGTATAAAAGTCGTGATAATAGGCTGCCATCTCGAAAAGTTGCTCAAAGCTCGCAAAAATTGCCCAAAAATTAGTCAATCCCGCGAGTATGGGGGCGAACTATTCTGTCCAGCAGAGTATGGAGGCACCCAGTATTCTGCCAACAAATAAAAATAATAATAATAAAGAAGGAAAAGGAGAGTAAAAGTTGATAAAATAATATCCTAAAAAAAAACTTCAATTAATACTCAAAAATCACAATCCAATAACGTCACTCCCCGGCAACGGCGCCAAAATTTGACCGCGCGTCGCAACGCGGCAAAATTAATATTTATATTTTCCTCGACTAACCTCTACTAACTAGTAGTAGTGGCGAGCAAGGGTCGATCCCACGAGGAGTGTGAATCAAATTGTGAATTTTTTCGTATTAACTGAAATTATAAAAAGCGATAAATGGGGGGGGGGGGGTGGTTTAAAAACTAAACTTATTAAAAATCCTAATAAACAAAGAAAATAAAAATAAAATAGAATAAATAAAGAGAAATTCCTAGTTCACGGTTCCGTCTACACCCTCGACTGACTTGTCAAATCAATTCTGGTATCAAATCTCGCTATCTTATGAAATTACTAGCCCTAGGCAACGACACGGTCAGTTACCCGAATTTTTCCTTATTTTTAATTTAACCGCGAGACGCTCTACGATTAAACCTGACTTTTTGTACAGTCCAGAAAAACGTTTTGAAGATTTAATACAATTAGCCGCTTTACGAATTAGAAAAATAGGCTAGACTAATTAGTGAACTCAACCGCGTTCGTTCACTTAATTAGGCCGTGTTATCCCCGGTAGTTACCATCTTCCGGTTACCTCTTATGAATTAAACACAACAACAATTACGGATTGCAGGTCTAATTCAGATGTAGATATGAAAAGCCTAATCTAGGTGATCAATCTAAACAAGACTAACACATCATGGTGAATTATTCAAAATAACACAAGCAATTCCAAAAAGATATTGAAATTATCAACCACGTAAATTAATCAAACATCGTCAAGTCGTAGGGTTCAACAACACCGGAACTAGAAATAAAATCTACTCTAACATAATAAATAAAATGGAAAAGATAAAAGAGAGAGATTAATTATCTCCCTCGTGTGTGTGCGGCCTCCCTCCGCTTCCGTCGGGCTCCTCTCGTTTTTCCTCTCGTCTGTTCTCTTTCTCTGGTCCGCGGCGTTTTTTTCTTCTTTTCTTTTCGTCATTAGTGTGAATTTTTATTCTCCCCCGGTATGTATAATGGCTGCGCCCGTAATGCCCTTTTATTTCTTTCTTCACAAATAATTCCATGCCAAATATCCAATTCTCCCATCTGTTCACGTGTCTCTATGGCCATAACATAACTTCAAATCTAAATTGGGCTACAAATTCTTCCTGGGCCCAATTAGCTTGAACTTAATTTTGTTGTTAATTAATTAAGCCTTCAATAATGATCTAATATCCGAACCCACATAATCCATTGTGGCTCTTTATTCTCTAGTAATGGTCACCTGCAAAAATAATTAAATATGCTGAAAATAAACCATAAAAATATAAAAACAAATAAATCCATCTAAATAATAAATAAGTCAAAAAACATAAACGTGCGAATAAACTGAGCGTATAAAAATACACTATAAATATATAAAACATGCACATTTTTCGACCTATCAACCACAAACGGGATGATTCAACCGTACAGGTAACTTAATCACTCACGTACCTTATACAGGATAACTGAAATGCGCAACGTAATGCCCTGTAAAGGCTCCCACCTGGTAACTGAAATTATCTGGACTGACGCAAGTGCTCGTAAGTGAGGTAGCGGTCGGAGGCTCGACTCTCCTTAGGCTACATAAACATATAGATAAAAATATGCTAAGTATTGTGCTCAAAATAATTATTTTATATGCTTGACTTAGATGCTTGACCCGGACGAATTTAGACCGATACGGGAGTTTTCTTAAAAATTATTCTAAGTCCGAAAAATTTAACTGGTATTTTTAAACTGACTGATTTGGCCCGAAAAAATACTTAAAGTCCGAAATAAAACTCGGATCGGAACTTATGAACCAAAAATCGAGGCTCGAACCGCCGGTCGAACAGGACGTTTCGCGGACCGGCCGGACCGCCGGCTCGGCTGGGCCGGGCGGTCGGGCGCTGGATCGGCTGGACCGGCCTCGACCCCGTGCCGGGCCAGCTGGTGCCCGGGCACGGCGCTGGGCACGGCTGGTGCGACCGGGCTCGGTCCCTGGGGCCGTTGGACTTGGCTAGGCGCGGACTGGCGCTGGTGGGCACGGCCAGAGGCTGCTGGCACGGCCCGGGCACGACTGGTGCCCCTCGGGTGCGCGCTGGGCACGGCCGAGGCTTGGCTGAAGCCCTGTCGTGCGGCGGGCATGCGCAGAGGCATGATAGAGGACCTGGCTGGCGCGGTAGGCGCTGCGAGCGCTGGGACTGGCGCGGGTCGACACTGCACGCGCTGCGTGCGCGGCTAGTGACCGGGTCCGACCTTTGCCAACTATTTTCCAACTTTTCTAAGGACAAGCCACATGTATGAACATAATATGATTTAATATGCACAAAAATGCTGAAAAGACCTAAGGGTGGCTCGGGCTTGCGGGGATTGGTTCGGTAGGGCCTATATGGCACCCTCGAACCCTAGGTCACTGAACAATATGCACATCTTATAAAATTACTTATGGTAGAGTTACTAACATGAAAAATGATGCTTATGGAGGCTAGGTCATGGGTCATATCTTGCATGTATGCTTAGGATGGCTCGGGGGTGAAAATAGCATGACACCTCTCAATCGAAAATCTGATATCGTGATTGTCAGAAAACTTGAATTGAAATTTTTTCTATACACACGTGCTCCTACTATCTTCGTGGATCGATTATAGAGGTATCAATTTTCAGAAATCGACAAATTATACCTCATATTGTTCGTCTCGCCATGGACTTTAAAAGACCTAAATCAATTTTAAAAATTAATTTAAAATTCATCATTAATTGAGTAAAAAACTATTTTGTGCCATATTAGGGTTTCCAATAGAGGAGACAAACTGTCAGTTTCGATTACATTGGAAGGCAAATTAAAAAAAAAAAATATATATATATATGGCAAACTCAAAAAAATAGCATACTTTGGGATGTTAAAATTTTTTTTCCCTTCCCGATATTATCAGTTGTGAAAGTCGCAATACACCTTCGACCAGCACTTTATGTTATATCGTCCTTGTTCTTCTTTCCCTTGCTCCTGCGGGTGGTTTTTTTCACCTTTCTTGGGTGCCAGCGGCCTTACCTTATCTGGTTTTGCTTTGTGTATTATCTTTAAGTTTATCTGCTGTGTATTTGCTAATTTCGAGTTAGATGTTTATTGTGAATTTTCTCTTGCTCGATGTCGATGATTATGCATATGTCTTCGGCAGGCCAACTATTTTGCCACAACTAGTGTTTGAGCTCTAACTTTCTTTTGATAACTCGTGGCAGTTGAGTTGAAATGAAAGAGACACGGAGTGGGTGAGCTGGTGAGTAGGTTATTTCTCGTGATTATGCTGTGTGTTTATTGACTTTTTCAGGTTTAAAATACTCTAGTTTGGAATTGGTATTGAGTTTAGAACTTACTCTAAGCTGTCGAAGTTTTTGTATCAGAGATCATTTCAATGGTTGAGTGGGTGATACGTGAATGAGTGGGGTGTTACGTGAATTATGTGGTTGAATTTTTCTGTGTTCATAGTTAGTTTACTTCAGTTTCACAAATTAAGTAGAATTTGTATGAATAGTTTGGATTTCATGTACCAGTGTGTTTAAATTCTCATTCTCATGTTGCTGTAATATACTGCCAAAGTTGCGCCAAGTTTTCTGTTTTGTTATGGTCTTGAATCTGCTCCTGTTCAGCTTTTACTCATCAAATTTTAGCATTTTCCTTAATCCATTGATATATTCTTCCTGCTGCTTGTTTTACTCACTCTGAAGGGGCCTTATAATAGGATAGGTCTATACTTTTTTCTGGATTTAGTACTTAGGTGTTTCTGGTGCTTTTTATTCATGTGAGAGCTAATTCTAGAGTTGTTGGATCGTGTGCTTCTGATTCTTGTTGGAGTTTTATGTAAATCTGCAAGTTTATTTCCAACATATTAAAATAATCGTCATCTGTTAAACATTTTCTTCCAAATTTGTGCGGTTCATTGTTCAACTGTTCATATTTTTATGTTAAAAGAATTGTCTTTAATTTTCAGTAAGTGACTGACAGACCATTATGGTTTTGCGATGTTTGATATATATATTTTCAACTTACTACCTTTTTCAGGATTTCTTAGCCGCATAAGCTTTTTATCTATATCTTTTCCTTACGCATGGACAACAGTGGAGATTTTGGGCCCACTGATACTGCAACATCAAGACCAATGAGGAGAAGGAGAAGCAATTTGATCCACCGTCCTCTGAATGAATCGGAGGTCCATCAAGAGTATCGTGATTCTATTTCGCTTTCCTCAACCCCATCTGATCATGTTAGTGAAGAAGGCAACAACATCCTTAACCAAACTGTAAATTGGCAAAAAGAACCTGGTTCCACTTTGTCCATCTCCATGCCATCATATGCTAACCTTGCTGGAACTGATACTGTGCAGCAACTTTATGATGAACGTGATGTGATAGAGGAAACCATTGACTTTAAAAGATCTGTTGAGGATAATAACGCTAAAGCAGATAACTGGACGATGAACAAAAATAAAATGAATGTGTTAGATCTCAATCCACCCGTAACATCATCGGGTGGAACTGGAACTGGGAAAAAATTCAGTACGGTTAAACTCAAGGTTGGAGGTGTGACTCATACAATCCAAAACATTTCCGATTCTAATGGTTCTTCAGTATGTGTAACGTCTACTACAAAGTCAACTGCACCAGATGCCACTAATCCTCAACAAAAGCTGAGTAGTGAGGTAAATGCTCACTTTCGGTTCAATAGTTACGTCATAGCAATTATTCTCTGGGCTATATTTGGGAAAAAGCAATCTCAGGTGTTGCATATAATGTACTTAATCCTTCAGTATGAATGTTTATATACTTTTGTTCTCATTTAACATTAAACTTCAATTGCGAGGCATTTTGTTTTCCATGAAAACTCAATGATGCAATCCTTGACTATCTTGTTATCTTAATATATCAGTTTCTCTTAACAGTTGGATCAGAAAGTTAGCCTACGTGGTCTGCCGTGGAAGGATTTTTCGAGAACTGGCTTCAGCTTTAGAAAGATGGGTTCCTTAGGAGTTGATGTGATCGAGGACTCTGTCAAGCTAGCTAAGAAACACAGTCGGCCATCTATAAGCAAGTCAAACAAATTTTTGACTGACGAATTATATGACGAAGAAGAAGATGATGAGATTCGGTACCTTAAAAAGCTCAAAGCCACCAGAAGCGTATCCTATGATAGTGCAGAATATGAAGAAGAAAACAGAGGCAAGAAACTGCGAAAGATATCCAAGGTAATGGAGAGACATATTCCCGACATTGACTCAGTCAAAGGGCGAAAGAGTTTGAGGCCAGTTAGAGCATCTGAAGATTATGACTATGTGGAAGAGGATGAATTAGTATCTGATGGCGAAACCGAAAACAAGAACAAGAAACAGAGAAAGGAGCAGATTGGAGTTGTTGAATATTCCAATAAAAGTTCAATCACCACCCGCCGGAAGGCAATTCTGACAAGTCGAGACATGTCACTTGGTGTACATTTTAGTTCGATCCAGTTTCCAGATGGATTACCACCAGTTCCACCAAGAAGTAAGTATTTGCTTGTGTTATTCAATTTTTTAGTGCCATCATCTTTTATATTTCTCTATTGTGTGTCTTTCACTTTGTTGATCTGGATTATTGTTTGGGGCAGAGCCGAAAGAGCAAGTCTCTGAAGTGGAGCAGCAACTGAAAAGAGCTGAGGCTGCCCAAAGGCGTAGGATTCAGAATGAGAAAGCTGCTCGTGAGTCTGAGGTTTGTTTCTCTGTGTCATGATATGATATACGTGTCGAGTAGTCCACTTATATACGTGAGTTGGAGAAGATTAGATTTTTGGTCAATATTTAATATTGATACGGTGCGTAGGCTGAGGCAATTAGAAAAATCTTGGGTCAAGATTCCAGCAGGAAAAGACGCGAGGAGAAAATAAAGAGACGGCAGGAGGAACTAGCCCAGGTTAAAGTTTTCCATAGGAAGTCATTTCATCTCTCGGTTTTAAATGTATAATTTATTTACCCAACCTATGCAACGTGGTGCTGCAGAGGACTGCCAATGATAGTGCAGTTGCAACCAACGCTGTTAGATGGGTCATGGGGCCTTCAGGGACAGTTGTCACATTCCCTGATGAGATTGGCCTCCCGAGTATATTTGAACCCAAGCTTTGCAGGTATTGAACTCAACTAGGCTAAGTGTAATATCATCCTAAGATTTTTTTTCCCTGAAACTTCTAGATTTCACTTTGATTTGAATTTTATATATGATTTTCAGCTATCCTCCTCCTAGAGAAAAATGTGCCGGTCCCACATGTACGAATGTATACAAGTACAGGGATTCAAAGTCAAACCTTCCTCTATGCAGCCTCGGATGCTACAAGGCTATAAATGACAAGGCACAACCTCTGCCTACTTGTTAAGTCATTGCATAGCGGTTACTTCTCTAACTGGTTTTCAGGACAATCAACCTGTTATTACATTCTAGGATATTTTCCCACTGAAGAAATGCGTGTGTATATTATGTATGGTTTTGTGACGGCTTCTGTTTATAGTTGCTTGTTGTGACTTTTGAAGAAATGTAAACTGGAGCAAAGAGCATATTACACGAAGAGAGACCTGATTTTCAAAAATTGATTTTCTGAAGACTGAAATAGCATAATAGTCAGGTTTGCTGGATTAATCCTGATAATTAGATGCTCTTACTCTTCAAAAATATAATGGTGATGGTAGATATAAGCAACAGTGCACAAGGATGTAATAAGTGTCTTAACTGTATCATTACTCAGGATAATTAGTTAAATACAGCCATCAAAATTGCATTTCCAACAGTAAAACAAAAGAAAAGAAAAAAAAAAATCATCGAATAACAATACTCCAAAAATTATGATCTAACGCGTGTCAAGACACTCAATTCCATATGATGATTTACGTCCTAGAATAAAATGCAGCCACCCAAAACCCAAACCCAATGAAAAATAGCTCAGCCTATTATTTCCCCCCTCCCCAACAATTCACAAATCAGTCAATCCACAAAATTTGATTTGAGCTACAACATCCACTGTGCTGCACCACCACAACCAAGTCCCCAAACCTGCACAAACCCTTACCCTCGGCTTCTTTCAGCGCCAATCCCCGCACTTCCTCAACACTCAATCCTTCACAACCAAGCACCACCGGAATCACCCCGCGTGAAATCATCCCCTGCCCAGCCCCAAACTCCCTCTCATCCCCTCCCACTACTAAAACAATCGGCACGCGTGGCCTGTACTTGGACACAATCTTAGCCACATTCGTCCCGCCCAGCACCACAATCAGGGCAGCCCTAGCCGACCTCGCAGCCTGCACCGCACCACAGGCCAGACTTTCCTCGGGCCCAACCACAAGCGTGGCCCCAGCCACAGCCTTCTGGAAAACCCGATCATAGTCGAGATAGTTCTCTGCCTCCGCACAAATCCGAGCCATGGTTCGGACGGCCTCCACTGGGTGGGCCCCAGCGGCCGTCTCGCCACTCAGCATTACGCAGTCTGTGCCGTCGAGAACTGCGTTTGCCACGTCGGTGGCCTCGGCTCGTGTGGGCCGTGGGGCTTTGACCATTGACTCGAGCATTTGCGTGGCCGTGACAACTGGCTTCCCTTGCTTGTTGCATTTCTCGATCATCGTCTTCTGAGCAAGGAATATCTTCTCGATCGGGATTTCCATCCCGAGGTCGCCCCTCGCCACCATGAACGCGTCCGAGCTGGCGATGATGTCGTCGAGGTTTGCCACCCCTTCTTGGTTCTCCACCTGCCACGTGTGGGTTATGAAATATGATCAAATATATCATCATTCTAAGGAATATTTTAAATTTTGGTCGGTTTACTCATTTTTTTGGTACACTAATTCTTCCCTTATCAAAAAGGGTACATTGCATTGCAATTTGTATCATTTTTAGGACATTACCCATCAAAAATAGTATATTATGTTGCAATTTGTATCATTGTTTGGACATTAAAGCATTTTTTTGGTACACTATGTTTTCCCTTATCAAAAATAGTACATTACATTGCAATTTGTATCATTTTTAAGACATTACATCAAAATAGTACATGGACATTAATCCCAAACAATAATGTACCATTTTTTAGATTAATGTCTCAAAAATGACTTAAAAAAATAAAAAAATATCTCAATAATGATACAAAGTGCAACATCACTTAATATTATTGATGAAGGGAAATTTAGTGTACCGAAAAAAAGACTTTGGACAAGTAAAGAGATCAAAATTGAATTTTTTGTGATGCATACCTTCGACATGAGTACTACAGACTTGGCGTGTTCACCAAGTAACTTCCGGACGGCAGCAAGGTCAGAGCCCTTGCGGACGAAGGAGAGGGCAATAATGTCAATCTTGTTAGGAATACCCCACTCCAAAATATCGTTTCTGTCCTTATCGGTCAAGGTGGGAAGGTCCACAACAACTCCCGGGAGATTGACGTTCTTTCTCTCGCCCAAGAAAGCCGTATTCTCACAACGGCAACGGACAAGCCCTTGATCTATATTGCACTCGAGGACCGTGAGTGAAATTGTCCCGTCAGAGCACAATATTGTGCTTTGTGGCCGCAAGTCTTCGGCTAGCTTATTGTAGCTCATCGAGATCATTTTCTCGTCTCCCTTGATGTTGTAGTCGGTCGATATGGTTATTTCTTGACCCTGCTGAAGCTGAATCGGCTTCCCTTCCTTAAGGAAACCCGTTCGTATCTCGGGACCCTAACATGAAAAAATAATAATAATTAATTAATAAGCCTAAAATAAATAAATTAAAAGACAAGATATTATTATTAAGACCTTGGTGTCCAGCATGACGGCGCAAAGGATGCCGGTTTTGCGTATGGCTTCACGGAGATTGTCGAGAGTTTCCTGATGATAGGCGTGAGTGCCGTGAGAGAAGTTGAATCGAGCTACGCTCATGCCAGCCTTAAGAAGCTCCTCTAAGGTCTCCACCGAGCGAGATGAAGGGCCTAGCGTGCAAACGATCTTCGTTTTAGGCCTCTGATGACAAGGGCTCGTTAGCATGGTGGTCGAGCCGTGCTTGCCGTTAGCAATAGAGCAATTGGCAGAGACCTTGGAGCAAAACATGGTTTTTGGTTGAGAGAGAATTAATTAGACGTTTTGATTTTTGGAGTATGATGTGGTGGGGGTTGTATAATCCTATTTATATATAACAACTAGGTTGGACTTTCTTGTTGTTGAAGAATTAAAAATATGGTAACTAGGTTTTTGAAACGCAAAATTATACTGGGACTGGGAAAATATTATTACGGCTTTATTGTTTTTCTCTTTCTATATTTTTGCTTCCTATTGTAATACGTTTTCTACATTCACTTTCCTTAATGTTTCTTTCTTGTGAATCAAGTTATGATATCAGTGCAACAATATGCGACCTAATATTAATTACAACTAATTAAANTTTTTTTTTAAATGTAATTCTTATTAGAAAAATGTATTGTTAATTTTATTTAAAATAAAATTAGTGTATAAAATTACGAAATAATGATATTTTTTTTATCAAACTAGTTTATATATTATATGTTATAAATGAACTTGATAAATGACAGTATTGTTATATCATATAAAAGTAATGTATAATATGTCATATATTTCACATTTGTTTCCCGCAACAATGTCGTTCTAATTATTTCTCATTCAACTTATACTAAGAAGTTATCATACTTATAAAATTTAACTAGTACAATACCTATATATTATAAAAAAAAAAGATTATAAAATAAATAATGAAAATGCAAAGTTTATATTTATATTTTTATTTAAACAATCTTTTCCTCGAATAATAAGCAACTCTATATATCTAGACATAATTATAAAATTGGTCCTATAACTTGGTCGCAGTCCAAAAAATCACCCATATATTGACCACTTTCAATTTAGGTCTTATAATTTGTCGATTTCATCATTTTGATCCTTTTTTATCCTAACCCGGGATAAAAATTTGACCTGGCATGACGTGGCATTTTTTGATCTGATGTGTCGACTTCACTTTTATTTAATAATCTTATTATTCCATGTGGAAATAATTATACCCATGTGGACCAAAAAATTAAAACAAAAAAATATAATTAAAATAAAAAAAAATATGTAGACGTGGAAAGTGCAAACCACAACACTTAATAAAAGAATAAAAAAACAAAAAAAAGTTAAACAAGGAAACAACTTCCTGCAATTTCCCGTCGTCAATCGTCATTGACATGTTCTCTTCAGCCGACCACCATTTTGCCGCCGCTCGAGCACCATCCTTGGCCAATAAATCCCAGTGTTCTAATAGTTGCTAGGCGCCCGCTAGGCGTTCGACCAGCGCCTAGCGCCTAGTAGGGCCTAGGCGGCGCCTAGTCGGGGCCCAGAAATCAATATTAAATACCTTATTTTTTATTTATTTTAACAACCTACAAAATAAATCTATTTCAACTTATAATAAATTCACACACCAAATTCTAAATGATAATATTAATATATATTAAAGAAAACATGAAAACAAAATAATGTAAATAGTATTTAAAAAAATACAAAAAAATAAAAAAAAAATTGAAAAATTGCCGCCGAGCCCGCACTGAAAAATTGCCGCCGAGCCCGCCTAGGAGCGCCTAGGGCCGCCTATGCCCGCTTAGACGCCGCCTAACCGCCTGGACGCCGAGCCCTCCAAGGAGCGCCTAGGGCCGCCTAGGCCCGACTAAGCGCCGCCTAGCCGCCTGGCCGATTTGTGCAAATCGGAGGCGCCCGGGCACCGCCTAGCGCCTAGGTGCCGCCTAGGCGGCCGCCTAGGCCGATTTTTAGAACAGAGATAAATCCACGTTCAGCCTTCAACCAGCAGCACCGCCTCCACCGGCCCCCTCGCCTGCGGTCAAGGCCAGCACCTTCAAGAGCTCCGGTTTGTTCTTCTCGATACCCGTCGGAAAAACGGGTTGCTTAAAAATTATCAGTTCTGGAGATAGTGGACGCCTTTGGGTGCAGGACGGTATGAGGAATTCAGAGGTATCTTCGGAGTTCTGTGGGTCGTCGTGAATCGCCGAAAAATTGAGGATTTAGACCAGAATTTTATAGATCTAAAAATTTGACCAGAGCAATTGACAGCTTTACATGTGGAATTTTCGCCGGAAAATGTAGGAGGTGAATGAGGAAGAGAATAGCTTCAATATGATACAAAAAAAAAATTCAATCGGAGGTGACCGACAGACGTCCACCGTTCACAGTGGAAGTTCACCGACCCGACCTCCGGCAAACGCGAGCTTTACTCCGCGACCGACCTCCGACGAGCCTTGCTCCCTCACAATGGAAGTTCACCAACTGGACCTCCGGCGAGCGCGATCTTTACTCCGCGACCGACCTCCGACGAGCCTTGCTCCCTCTTCACTGCTCATTTTCTTATTTTTATTTATTTGGTTTTAATATTTTATTTTTTGGTTTTAATTTTTCACTTTTTTTAATTTCCAACTAATCTTGAATGTAGATGTGGATAGTTTGATTTGAGTCAACATTTTTTAATCCTGCCATGTAATCCACAATCACGCCACGTTAAATTTTTATCCCGAGTTAGGATAAAAAAGGACCAAAAATGATGAAATCGACAAATTATAGGACCTAAATTGAAAGTGGTCAATATAGGGGTGGTTTTTTGGACTGCGGCCAAGTTACAGGACCAATTTTGAAATTATGCCCTATATATCTATATAAAAAAGGTTTGACATTTACTTAATATAGTAACTATAATTACCATCCAAAGTTTTTGAATTACAATATTAATAGTAAGTTTGCTCAAAACATCTTTTAAATGTTTTTTACATTCCTTTTTACATTTCTAACGGATTTTTTCTTTTAAAAAATTTTCTGANTTCAATATTTTTTTTAAAATCGTTGCGTTTTTCTTCGATTTTTATTTACATTTTTTTAACAATTTCGCATATCGAGATTTTGTGACTGAGTTTCTAATTATTTTTTTAGTTTAAGCACAAAAATCACTTTAAAATAAAATTGATTGTTATGTAAGAGACGTAGAATACAAAAACATTAACCGCTAAATATTTGAATATTTTGTTCTTGAATAAAAAATACGTACAAATTATTCAAAAGCGAGTTATATATCGGAATATGAAAAATTTGAACAACATTAAACAAAGAATAAAGAAAATTAATTTTGGGATATATAATCTAACCTTCCTAATAACTAATTTTAAAAAAATTTAGATTTTCATAAATAAATATATAATATTTAAAATTTACTTAAAAATATTCGAAATCGGATCAAATTAACATTGTTACATTTGTTATTATCTATAGTAAAAAATATGATTATATTCCATAATATTGTTGGGATTATCAAATACATGAAAGACTCACATCTGATTCCGTGCCAGAAGTTCCCAGCAATTGAAAATATGTTAGACAAAGATAAAATTTGGGATATTCATTAAAATCTAACTTTCCTTTTTGTAATGTTTATTAAAAAAATAGCATATACAAATATAAAGTTGAGATTCTGAAATCTAGACCATTAAAATCCCAAACTTACTTTTTCTTATGTATATTTAAAAGAAAAACGAGTATATCCCAAATTAACATTGGAATTCTCAAATCTCAACAAGAGAAAACGTAGATTTATGAAAACAAGAGTATCTCTCAATATATTATTGGATTTTAAAATCCCAACAATTTTATAATTGATAAACATCTTAAATGGTTAGTCTTAACATATCAAACTAAAAAATATAAGGACATAAAAATTTGTGGGAACATCAAATTCCTAATATTCATTTTTACTATTTGTTTTTTAAAAAGGTCATATATTTAAGAGATGAAAACATAATATTATTGGAATAATTTTTATAACTACAAAAATTGAAAAAATAAAAGATGAAGTCTTAGGATATTCTTGGGATGATGATTTTCCCAAAAATCGTAAAGCAAAATCAAATCAAGTAATAAACTTATATTCATGTAAATCCACATTTTAAATATATGAAAATAAGTGAAAATATATGCATCAAAATTTCATCTATAAATATGCTCACATTCACGGTCAAATGAATTGCAATACTCATCATCCTTCACACGTTCAAAATAAAGTCATGGATCAACATATGGCCTAATCAAGGATCTTAAAAGAAGTTCGAAGGTAACCTTGAAACTTCCAAGAGCATCTTTAGTATTATGTTTGATGCCTCTTACCGAAGTTATTTGGAAATAGTTTTCCACGATAGTGAGATTAGTATTATTCATTATGTGATTTAATAGTAGTGGCCAATATTATTATTTTAATTTTTTATCAAAGATTTATTTTGTATTGCGATTTTATAGGGTGGTCGAATAACTGGACTTATTCGTGGCGTTAACATTCAAACGATTGGTGACAAATTTGAGGAGGGTGGAACATATGTCATTCACAATAACCAATTAGAAAGTACGATTGCTAAATAGTGATCTACTATCGCAAAGTTCAAACTCATTATTCATGGAAAGACTAAAATGTTGGAGTATCCTTCTAATTTTCTAATATTTTATCTTGACTTCTGTTATTTTGCTACCCGCTAAGATATTGACAACGTAAATTTTCAAAAGCAAACGGTTGCGTTTTCAATTTGATTTTCAAATATGTATGCATACATGTGGTTGTTTTTTATTCTAATTCTCTACCTATTATATTGTTAACATATATCCTATTATCTAATACTAGTACGTAGCCCGTGCGATGCACGGAATAAATAATTATAAAATGCATGTATTAAACAAATGAATAAATATTGATTAGTATAAAAGCAGTTCTGAATAATGATTATTTTTTTTCTTCTAATTTATGATATATAATAATTTAATATATAGTTTATATATTTATTTCACTTGATATAAAATAATTGACATTTTAGAGTTTATGTTTATAAGTAAGGATACTAGACATTTAACATGTTCAAACATTGTCAACAAATAATACGCACATAATATTTCTCTTTCTAGCTTCCTTTACTCATACCTTATTTCAGTATATTATTTAGATTTCTAAATAAGATATGTTAAATTTTAAAAATTGTGGCAATTATTATAAGAAATACTTAATTTCAAAAGACTGTAATATA